TGATTCCCAGGGAATCTCAGGTCAGGTCATTTAAGGCAAGAGTCGCCTGGCTCTGGAGAAAGCCAACGGATGGTGGGCCGCCGGGCCAGAGCAAAGGAATGAGTTTGGGTGTGTGTTTCCTAGCACAAGTGGGGCGATCCTACGATTTCCCTTTAGAAGCATCCTTTTCCCTGAGAAACCAGGTTAGGGAAGGTTTCAGCTCTGGAGAACTGCCCACCCTCCGCCCATCTCCCCAGCCCTCTCAGTCTGGCGCTGAGGATGTGTCAAAAGTAGGTCCCTCTCCCTGTGGCCTGGACAGGAGGGCACCCACTTCACACCCCCTAACTCCCACGGGGGCTTTTGCCGAGCACAGGCCGCCTCTTCTCCGGCTCTGGCGGCAGGGTCCGGACGGGCAATGCCGCTCGCTGCCCTCCCCCTTCCTCAGCTAAGCCTCCGCCTGGCGCCAACCCACCCAGCAGGCTCTCCTGGGTGCCACGTGGGGACTTCCGGGAGCGGGGCGCCCCTTGCCGCCCGGGGCAGGGAGAGGCGCGGGGTCCGGAGCGCCAGGGCGTCTGCGCCCCACTTCCCACGACGCTTCAGGCCCTTTCCAGGTCCTGTGCTGCTGCGCTTTAACCCTCTCCTGGGGCTACTCGGACGAGGTCCCTGACCCCAGGCCCCCAAGTTCGCCCGGTGCGTGGCTGCGAGGTGAGCACACCCGCATTTCCCCTGCGCCCGCCGGCCGCGCCCGCCCGGCCACCCCCTCCTCCGCCTGCCCCATCATTTCGCCCTTTGTCTGCAGGCCGGGGTCGCGGCGGCAGCCCCAGGAGCCAAGGGTGGCTCTCCGCCGGGCCGGGCCCTTTCTCCCCGCTCGGCCCCAAGGCCCCGGCTCCCCGGCCTGATTCTGCTGGGGTTGAGATTTCGCCCTCCGGAATTGTTGGGCTTCTCTACCAACCGAGTGACAAGGACCGCTGCGAGCCAGCGCCGCTCATATCGCGCTCGTTTGTTTTCTTCCCGTCCCCCCGCCCTCCCAGAGAAGTGTGGCAAGTAAGGGGACAGCAGAGTGGCTGGAAAAGTTCCCCTCCTCCGGCCTCGTTTTTAAGAAAAAACGGGAGGCTTGGATCTGCAGCCAAGCACCCAGCGTCCCCAGGAGCTCTCTGCCACCGGAGATTTTGTCAGTCTAGCATCGGGGCTATGAAAACACCGTGCCCAGCAGCCGTCTTTCCCCTTGATACATTCCGAGATCCCCCTTTGTGCAGAGCACCGGGGAAGCTTAGAGGATGGTTCTCCAGAAGCGGGGAGGGGGGGTTGCCTCCACTCTCCTGGGCCTGTCGAGAGGAGAAAGGATGGGGGCCCCGGGCCTCGGCCTCACTATGTTGGGGAGAAACAAATGTCCAGTGCTGGTCGCCTGTTCACACGGAGAAGCCCACCCTGCGGGACGGCCGCCATCCAGGTGGGAGAGCGGAGCTGCGTGGCTCGCTGGGCGCAGGGCCGGCACCTCGGGTTCTGGAGCGAACACTTGGAAATGCGTCCCCCGCCTTCCCCGGCGCCCCCAGAAAGCACAGCCAGGCGGGGTCCCAGATCCCGCCTGGCCGGTCGGCCCTCAAGCGTGTTTCAGAGCTTCTTGAAAACAGCTTGTTGCGATTTCTGTGTTTGTTAAGATTTAGGATTCCCTCAGCCCCGGGGCAAATCAACTTTCTGCAACTTCCCCCCAGATTTTCTCACCCTCCACGCTGTACCCTTGGGTGGTGCCCACTCTCAAGGGGCGCTCGCTTCCGGAATTATGTTCATGTTTGGGTTGGCTTTGAGTGGCCTGATGCTCTCTAATGATTTCTCTCCTCATTCCTTCCTCTTTCCCCTCCTCCTGCACGTTCCCATCACGGCCTGTAACTCAGGAATTGGCCTGCTTCCTCGACCAGCCTGATCTGCAGCCTGGAGACCAGTGTCTGCAGAATGCTATCCCCCCAAAAGTGAGGTTGGCCTGGAGATGACATGCTGCTTTGCAGAGCTCATGCTGCAGCCAGTAACTTGGGTCTGGATCGCAGGAGAAAACACAGCAGAAGTCCAGCACTTGGGCTCAGTTAATGCTAAGGCGATCAGAGGCAAAGATGCCCAAGACATCAGAAATATTTCTCAGGAGATAGCCTAACTGGTTTTCATGGACAGGCGGAGAAATTAACCTGCGGTGGCTTTGCAGGAACCAACCAGTCCTGGGCCCCCCCTCTACCCACTTGGTGGTCCAGAGACCCAAAATAATGGGACATTCTCTGATGATTAAGGTTCCCAGAGTCGCAGGAACATTTCCCCCCAAACCCTAAACGTGTGTAAGTAGGGTGCTCCCACAAAACTCACCAGCTTCATTTTTCCAGGCACACACAGACTATGGGCTTCATTTTTTGAGACCCAGGGAGGGCCACTGGCAGGTGTGTATCTAGCCAGGTAATTTGGTGAAGACCCTTCCACTGGTGGGGGAGGGAAGAGAGATGTGAGTCACCCCAGTGGGAAGTGCTTCCCCATCCTGCCTGAGTCTCACCGAGGACCAATGAGCCTCCCCCTCTGCCTCCAGAGCCTACCCACACCCAGCCACCTACCTGCATTTAGCAGCAGGTGACCCAGCCCAGAACCTCTTCCTGCCCAGTGCATGCCCCTCGTCCGCAGGTGAAATTCCCCCCCAGCAGCACCCTGTAACTGTTGCTGCTAGTTCAGCCCAGGCCTGACTCTGGAGCCCGCAGTGGGTGGACAGAGCTGGGGTGGAGAGAGGATAGGACCTGGGTGGGAACCAGAGAAAAGGAGAGCCAGGTCAGGGTCAAGCCTTCAAGCCTCATCGTGGCCTGGTGGTCACACCGCCAGGAGGGCTGCTTGTCCAGACCTTACTCCATCCCTCCGGGCCTGACAGCCTCCTGCTGGCTGCCCCAGGCCCAGGGCCGGCCCCGTGGGGGGCCTCAGTTGCTGGGTACCCCGAAGCCACCTGGGCTCTCCCTCTTCTGCCTCTCCCCATCCTTCCTCTCATCCCCCTCCAGTGTACTTTTATTGTGCCGGCGCCCCAGCACCCTCAAAGTTGCCCTTTTGGATGTTTCTCGAACTTTGAAAATTTCCATGAAAGTGCCTTTTAAACGATGGACAGGCATGCCTGGGGTAACAACGGGTGTTTGGTTGGGTGTCTGCAGCTGGGGGCAAGGACAGAAGAGTGAACAGAAGGAGCCAGAAGGAGGAGGGGGGAGCGAAGGGGAAACAGAAGTTCAAGTTGGACATTCTGACAGCAACTGGAAAGGAAATTTAGAAAGGGATAGAGGAAAGCGGGGGCGGGGAAGAAATTGGGGGGCCACCCCACCACGTGATTTCTAATTTCCCTTTCAGATGGGCCCTGCTCTCCAGAAAAACTAGTTTAAAGGGTTTTAAGACAAGAAAATGAGGTGAATGTCTTTCTGGTAGTCCCTCCGTGGGGGAGAGGCTTGGGCTGGGGCAGATGACGGGTGGGAAATTGGGGGGAGGCAGCTGCTCTAGAGTATTTTCTCTCCACGTGGTTTTGAAGTCTTGGCTGGCCGTCAGCTCCCCTTCCCTTTCCAGAAAAGAAGACTCATTTATAAGCCTCATGCTCCTTTATTTCTCTTCCCCCACACGGAGTCCCAAAGCGTATTCCCGAGCTCTTCTGGATCTGCATGCACGTTTCAGGAGGATCGTTGTCCCGGGGTGGAATCCTACCGTATGCACGCGGCTCCCTGCACAAGCGCGCACACGCGCACGTACACGCACACTTACGATGAGTGTCTGTAGGAAGAGGGTCCTGCGCGTCAGCTCTGCGTTTAAGACAGGAATCTGCCGGGTTACCAAAGTCAAACGTAAGTGACAATTCCCCTCTCCGACCAGCAAGGAAGGCGGACTACAAAAGTCCCTTTGTATCTCGGCAGCTCACTTAATGTTATTTATGCATTTTGTGCAAGGAATTGTGGGATTTTTCCCCACGGTAAACAATATGGAAATGTTAAAAAATAGCAATCTTCCAGCGCTTGTCCACGTCTGCACGCCGGGGTGGCCCGGCGGGGCTATCGCGCGGGTTTCTCAGATCCCTGAACCGAGAAGCGGCAGGGAAAACACGAGCGAGCTCAGGGTACGCGGTCGCGGTCTCGCCGGTTCGGGTTCCGGTCTCCGGAGCGCCAGGACGCTGCCGCTTTAAGGGGAGGAGGGGCGAAGACGGCGGGGGAGGGGCGGCGGGAGGCTCCTGTCACCGAGCGGCCGCCGGCGCGTCACGTGGGCGCGCGGCGCCGCGACCATTGGCCCGAGGCACGTGTCCAGGAGACCGGCCCGCGACGTCACTCGAGGGGGCTCTGTTAAAAATAAGAACAAAAATCCAGAGTCAAAGTGTCTCGGGTTGCGCTGAGTGGCCTGGAAATTTCCGAGCCGCGCGGAGGCCGAGGCGGCGAGGGCGCGCAGACGGCGAGGGAGCGCGGGCGGCCCAGCCCGGCCCGGCCGTGCCCGCGCCTCCCGCCGCTCACCCATGCGCAGCGGGCCGCCGCGAGCCTTGGCCCGGAGCAGGGGCGCGGGG